TATATATATATCCCGAAGGTAAATTTTACTTTTTTAAGTGAGTCTACATTTGGGGAAGGGGGTAAAGATGGAGACAGAAGCTTGCTGTGTAGCTCAGGTTGGCCTTGAACTCAAAATTTCCCTGCCTTCTTGAGTATTAGGATTACCAGCCCAGCTTGAGCCTACTTTTTAAAAAGTAATTGCTCTCAAATATAACTTTTAAGATATTTAAAAATGTGTGTTTTTACTTCATGGATGCATGCCTAGTACTCTTGGAGGCCCGAGAAGGTGTTGGGGCCTCTGGAATTGTAGTTACAGATGGTTGCAAGCCCCCATTTGATTGCCGGGAACAGAACCCAGGTCTTCTGTAAGCACAGCAAGTGTTCTTAACTGCTGAGCCATCTCTCCGGCCCCTTTTTAATTTTCTAAAAATTTTATGTGTATGTGTGTGCCTGTATGTGTGTGTGCAGGCACCCAGAGGCCAGAAAAGGGTGTCAGATTCCCTGGAGCTGGAGTTATAGGCAGTTGAGAGCTGCTAGACTTTGGTGTTGGGAACTAAACTTGGTCCTTTGAAGACCAGAACATGCTCTTAACTACTGAGCCAACTCTCCAATGAGCGTCACTTGTGGAATTTCACACTTGTGGCATCATGTTGTACTCAGAAGTTTCAGATCTTGGATTTATGGATTAGGGGGATTCAACTTGTGGTAAGCATTTAGTAAATGGTGCTGTTATTTAGTGCTGTTATTTTTACTGACATATCCAGCGATGTCAAAACTGAAGACAAACTTGGAGCAAGGAAACAGGAAAGTCCTTTAAATTTAGTTAGAAGGGTTAATTTGTGATTTTTGAACGGAAGTTTACTAGGGTGCTGGGAGCAAAAGGCAAATTTGGGGGAGGCTAAGGAGTAACGATAGGGTAAGAAGAAATTAGAAGCAGTCAGCCACACTGTTGAAGTACAGAACTAAAAGAAAGAAAACTAGGGCACTCTCCAGAGGGAACAAAGGACCTACTGCAAGGTTTTACAGAACAAAAACACTTGTGTGTGCTTAAAATTGAGAAGCAGGACTGGAACTTTGGGAAGATTGATGTTACAGTGCTTATGGAGTTAGTCCAGGTAGACTTAGAAGTCCTGGGATGAAGGGAACTGCACAAAGAGGAACCAGGAAAAATTATCAAAATTGGCATTTTGAGGAGAGAGAAATTATATTCATGCGCAATGGCTTTAGTTTCTGCCTATTAGTTAAACAGTTTACTGTGTTTTGAACACTGCCAGGCTCTGGAAATTCAACAATGTGAAAACCTCTCTCTCTCTCTCTCTCTCTCTCTCTCTCTCTCTCTCTCTCTCGGCGGGGGATGTTTCACAGTGAGCCTCTGGAGGTCAGAGGACAACTTGCCAGAGTTGAGAAATGGGGCCCACTGTGCCGGGGATCGAACTCAGGCCTGGCAGCAAGTGCCTCGTGAGCCATTTTCTGGCCCTGTTTTTGGTTTTGTAGTATTTCTCTATAACATTTATTATTATCTATTATTATCTGACAGCATGCTTGTTTGCTTTGTCAGTGAGTGAGTGAGTGAGTGAGTGAGTGAGTGAGTGAGTGAGTGAGTTCATGCATGTGCCATGGTGTACACGAGGACATCGGAGGACAACTTGTGGGCCCTGGGAATAGAACTCGGTTTTCCCAGCCTGATGGCAGGCACCTTTACCTGCTGACCCACCTCACCAGCTCCTTTTTGCTTTTTCAAGGCCTCTCCATATTTGGATGGTTTATGTGGTTGTGGGGAGGGATCCTGATGTAACCTCAGTGCTTATTATGGTAGCAGGCATATAGGTACTAATGAACATTTATGGAATTAATTAAATTTTATTTAATTACCTACTGTATGCTACACAGCCCATTTTAACTCATTTAATGAATAATAATGTCATTGGGGAATGAGAAAACAACCTCTGAATATAAATCCCACCATGGGTTTTTGTTTTTGTGGTGCTGAGGTGATAAGATTTCTCTTTAAAGCTCAGGCTGACCTTGAACTTGCAATCCTCATGCCTCCATCTCTTGTATGCTAGGATTACAGGTGTGTGCCACCATGCCTGATGCAATTATTACACACATTTCTTTTCATAAGAACTGCACAGGGGATGTTCAGCAGCAGAAAATTCTTCTTTGGGGTGGTAGTGATGATACAGGGGATCAGACTCAAGGCCCTGTTTATGATAAACACATGGGTTGCCACTGAGCTGTACCCTCAGCTTACAAAACCCCTAAAACTAAAAAATTGGGCCCAAAGATAGCTTAGTAGGCACTTTCTGCCAAATCTGATAATCTGAGTTTAATCCCTGAGACCCGGTGCTGGATAGCTTTAGTGTCAACTTGACACACCTGGGTCGAGGGAGCCTCAATTGGGGATTTCCTTCATTGGACTGGCCTGTGGCCATGTCCATGGGGCACCTTCTTGATTGTTGAATGATGTGGGAGGGCCCAGCCCACTGTGGGTGGTGCCATCCCTGGGCAGGTGGGCCTGTGTTGCATAAGAAAGCAGGCTGAGCAGGGCCAGGGGAGCAAGCCAGTAAGCAGCGTTCCTCCATGGCCTGTGCTCCAGCTCCTGCTTCCAGGTTCCTGCCCTGAGTT